CTTGGTAAAGACCAGGCTTGGGAGGTTTCTGCTGGAAAGGACTGCATTGGTTGTTGGACTCCACATGATGTGTGTTATGGCTTGGCAGAAAGTTTGTCTGCATTTTGCTCCTGCCCAGAGACTTTGCCTGAGACTGACACAAAGGGCAATGGACTGATTAATCTTGAAAAAGAAATTAAAAAGCAATCGAACATTGAGGCTGTGGCATGGCTATTGTTGGGGGCTGTTAGCCAGCTTTATGTTTCAAATCAGGAGCAAAGAACCCAGCAGAATAATTTCCTATACTGTGAGTTTGGCCCAAAGGAAGATTCCAGGAAGGATGTGGATTGTAAAGACAGAGTTGAGATTTTGATTCCTGAGGAGAAACAGAGAGATAAGAAAGACAGCCCTGGGGCATCCCAGGAAGCAGGTCCCCGCCCTGTGCAGCCTCACAGCAAAGATAAAGAGTGCCATGCTCCAGAATGGCGACAGAGGCCACGTGAGGTTCCAGAATGGCGACAACACAGAGAAGCTTTTCATCACAATCAGGTAAACAGAGCCCTGAGATCCAGGCAACTGACCCCTACAGCCAAAAGAAAAGCCTGGCCATTGCTTCAGCTAGCAGCAAACCTTGGCGGCATCCACAAGGTGCTGATTTTAGGTGCAAGGAAAATGCACGAATTCTGAGGGTAAGATGGCTTCCACCTCGATTGCAAAGGGCCTAGGAAGCCAAGCAGTGTGCCCCTGAGAGGGCAATTTGTAAAGATGTAAGGGTGAAGCCGAAGGTGCAGTGGAGACCCCAGAAGTTTGGAAAAGCCAGGAATGTGGATGATCCAAGGGAAGCTGCAAAAAGCGAGCAGAGAAGATTTAAGAGAAAAGCTGCGGGAGTTAAAATCACCTGAAGTGCCCTGGGGGTGGAATCACCCAAGTCTTTTGGAACTTGCAACCAGATTGCTTCAGATGCTGAGTGTAGAACTCTAGGACTTAATGTTTGCCCTGCTGGATGTTAGAATTGCTTTGTTTCGAATGCTTTCTATTCTCCTGTTTGTAACTTTTGGAATGGTGATGTTTATCTTGTGCCTTTGCATTTCAGAAATGTTTAACCTTATTTCTTTTGTACAGGGGTTTACAGTTAAGAGTTTGCCATAGATCTTGGAGGAGACTTGGGACTTGTACTTTTCAGCAATGTTGAAGCTGTTAGGACTTTGGCAAATCTTGGAGGTGGACTAAATGTCTTTTGTATAAAGGATGTACATGAGTCCTGGGGGCCAGGGGTGGAATGTCATGGTTTATGTTTGTGTCCCCCAGGCCTCATGAGTTTGCATTGTTCATTTGTGATGGTTCATTGTATAGTGCTTGGATTGATGGTGTCAGTGCTCCACCCATTAGGGGTGGAACCAGGATGTGATGTAATGGCAGGAAGAAGGTGTGTCTTTCTCTCTTTGCTGGTTCAAGCTTGCTGTGGGCGGCCGCCATGAACTGCAGCCCAGCCATGCCTGCCTGTCTTGGAGCCAACTGAGTGTGGACTGAAACCTCCAAAAACTGTAAGAAATAAACCTTTCCTTTCCCAACTTGGGCATCAGGTATTTTGTCTCAGCGACGAGCATAAAGTAACTAAGACGTGGGGGACCTCAATACTATACAGACAATTCAACTGGATAAAAAAAGCCAACAAAGAAATATCAGAACTGAACCAGATCTGTGAACAAATGGGCTTAGCAGATGTCTGTAGAGTGTTCCACCCACAACATCAGAATACACATTCTTCTCAGTTGCACATGAGACATTTTCCAAAATAGACCACCCACTAGCTCATAGAGCATGCTTAAATAAATACAAATTAATTGAAATTATCTGACCATAGTGCAACATAAATTACATAAACACATGGAAATTAACATCTTTCTTTACAACCAATGGGTCACAGATGAAATTAAACAAGAAATTAGAAAGTTTCTACAATTAAATGATAATACAAATACAACATACCAGAACTTACAGGATATAGTGAAAGCTGTCCTATGAGGGAAATTTATAGAAGTGAATGCTCACATTAGAAAAACAGAGTGATCTAGAATGAACAACCTAATGTTGAACCTTAAACTTCTAGAAAAAGAAAGACAAGCCCAAAGCTTGTACAAGGGAGGAAATTATAGAGATCTGAGTAGAAATTAATGCAACTGAGACTAGGAAAACAATACAAAGAACCAATGAATTGAATGATTCTTTAAAAGATTAAATAAAATTAAATAAAAATAAAAAGATTAAACAAACCCCTAGACAACCTTATTAAATTAAGGAAAGAAAAGACTCAAATCCATGCAATTAGGAATGAAAAGGATGAAATCACAATGGGTCCTGCAGATATCCAGAAGATCATCAAAACCTTCTTTGAAAACTTTTATTATAAGATGGAAAACAGAATAAATGGATGGAGTCTTAGATACATATGAATTAGCAAGCTGAATTAAAAAGATGACAAATTTCTAAATAACCCATTGTCAATCAGCAAAAGAGGTAACTGAAAACTTACCAACAGAGAAAAATCCAGGTCTTGATGCATTCACCTCTGAATTCTACAAGAAATGTGTGTGTGTGTGTGTGTGTGTGTGTGTCTGTGTCTGTGTGTGTGTGCACATTGAAGCATGGGGTGGAAAAAATAAACAAATAGTAAATAGTGCCTTAAATATTTGTTGTTTCTTTTTTCTATGTCATAGATAAGTTACTAATCCCTGATAAATACTTCAGTTTAAAGCTCTCATTCTTGTGCTTCTGGTGGGCATCGCCTCCTAACACATGTGTGTGCCTCCAGTCTCTGTCCCTCCCACCCTACCCAGATGATAAGGTGATCTTTCTAAATATGGATCTAATCATGTTACAACTTGGGTTCAGTAGTACCCCTCAGTCCAGCCTCAGCTCAGGCACTCCCCTCTGAGGACCCAGGATGCTCATCATCTACCACCAGGAGAGAACAGAGACACCAACCAAGATGTGGCCGGTCACTGGGCACAAGCAACCTACACACAGTCCCCTAGACAACCTTATTAAAATAAGGAAAGAAAAGACTCAAATCCATGCAATTAGGAATGAAAAGGATGAAATCACAATGTGTCCTGCAGATATCCAGAAGTTCATCAATACCTTCTTTGAGAACTTGAGCTGAAAAAAGTGTTCAGCATTTTTATGATAATCACAAAAGCTGGCAGTGCTGTACCGTAGCAATTTGTGCTTAAATCTTTTCAGTGGTAACACTAGTTGGGAATTATTTCTCCCCACATAAGGATCTGGACAATCAATCCCTTTTGTTCTCTCTACATGTTTGGCTGAGGAAAGACCCAAAGAGAGGATTAAAATATTTATTTTTTTCACATTTAAGGAGAAAAAATTGGTTTTGGGGGTTTTTTGGTTTTGGCTAATGTCCCAACTCAAACAAGTTGTTGTCAGTCAACAGTCGAGGGTTCTCTTACTGAGTTCAGAGAGAAATCATCGATCAGCAACGTGCCACTCTGTTTGCCCCTAGTTAATGGTAGGTGACTCTGGTTGACACTGCCAATTCCTGCTTTCTAGGGATACTGTCAGTAGATTCTACCAATTGCTGGTATCTGGAGCTCTCCAGGGCTAACAAGCCCTGGAGTTCACTCCTTTTTCTTTTAGAGTGACTATTCTGTCCTTTACATGATCTTCTAAGCCCACACTACCCAAGAAATGTATCATAAGCACGTTTACAGGTCCAGCAGGACAAGCTTTTATTTGAAGAGGACCTAGATGGCACCAGAGGAAAGCCTCCTCCACTAACTGGAGCCAGAGGAAAGAACTGCGTATACACTAGCTGCAAGCCTCTGATTGGTCCAAGTGCAAATTGGGTTCAAATTCAGGCCTGCTGATTTGTTCAAATGCAGGCCTATGATTGGTGCAAATGGTTCTGGAGTATCTAGGACAGACAGAGCAGTTTAGCCCTGGATGAAGGAAAGTTTGGGGAGAACTTTTTGATTGACAGCTGTCCTATCTCAGTGATAAAACACAGGACTAGCCCTGGGGAATCTTCAGGAAGCTTGATTGTGTTTATCGCAGCATATTGGGGTTGGGGAAATTGGGGGATAATGAGTCTGGACCCCTCTGTGATGTTGGCCACATGACAGGAAGTTACTTTGCCATTTCTTCAGCATTTGGTGCTGCGGAGCAGGGTAGGAGCACTGCAGCTCACAGATGGCCACACCTTCCACCAGAGGGGCCACGACAGCAACCACTAAGTAACCTGGAGAACATGAAGGCAAGTTGTCCCATGCTCAGGCAAGAGACACAGTGAAAGGAAAGAAGGAAAGCAAAGGGAAAGGGTGCGACATCCCATCGCCAAAGCATAGTCTACCCTGACCATGGTAAGAGTGAAAGGAGGAGAGTCAGGGGCTTCCGGTCTGTCTCAAAGGAACCACTACCATCAGTCATTGATACAGAATCAGTGCACAAGCTCTGAGAATCAGTGCACCAATGACAGCCTCAGCTGAGTAGCTGTTTCTGAAGAAAGTTAGCAAATGTGAAGCTTCTAAAAGTCAATCACGATAGCCTAAGACAATGACCAATCAGAAAGTGACTCAGTCCAGTGACCAGTACACACATCTGAAAGCCCACCAATGCCATCAGCCTTCCAAACCTACCAACTCCTGAACCCCAGGATTCCCAAAACATTAATAACAATTCAGTTTATGAACTTAATTTGTTTCATGATTGGGGGAAGATGGCTGTTTGTGTGGGGAAGACATCTGTGGTCATGTTTGCCACCCACATGGAGCATGAAAAAGAAATCAACTGTTTGCAGAGAGGTGTTCATGAACCAGGACATTAGTGTGTCTTACAAGTCTACTGCATAGGCAAAAGGGAGGTTCACCTTTATACAAGAGATACCAAGTTTACAAGTTTGTGACTGTCAACAGTTCAGCACTTCTTCGTAATTAGCTATGAGCTCAACTCATGGGGGACTCTTGGGATCAGGATTTATAAGAAAAGAATTAATACAGGACACATAATTTATAGGATTATTTTATATTCACCCCAAGAATCAAATGCAAAAGAGTGCGAGAAATTTGTCCACACACTCAGACCCAAAGAATTCAGCTGAGGGCTGAATCCCACAGCAATGTCATCGTGAGTCCAGCTGAAAACCTACAGTCATAGCAATGTCTTGTGCAAATCTGTAGCCAGGATCTGCACTGGCCCAAAGGTCAGTGCAGAAGCCAGAAAGTTTGTGCCAGCGGGATGAAGGATCTGTGCCAGCAGGCTGAATGAGGGATGGGCGCTGGAACCAGCAAGCGATGCTCAAAGTAAAGACCAGCGCTCCCTCAAAAAGAACCACAGCCATCCTCAGAGACAGCAAGATCCTGAGCTCTTCTGATGATGGAAACAGCCAAGTTCTTCTCAGGAAAACCAGCTCAACAAGCTTCTCCAGGAGAATCAGCAGGCTGGGGATGTGGCTCAGGGGTAGAGCATTCACTTTGCATGCACGAGGCCCTGGAAAAAAGAAAGGGAAAGGGAAAAATATATCTGTAAAATAGTTAAGATAGTTATACTGTTAATTGCTAGTAGTTCATTGAAAAGTATAGTTTGTGCCTGTACTGTTTGATCCGTTTTTCATGCCTATATCTTGTAATATGAACAACCACTTTGAAGATAACAATACGCAATGTACTAACCATTGTTACTCTCTTACAATCCTGTTTTGAAATTTAGTACCATTATTTTTATTGGGGTTTTTTGTCTTGAAAGAAAAAAAAAGAATCAACACCATCATCTCCTCCAGTTCTCTCTTTTTTTAAATTTTATTTAAAGAAAGACAAAACAAAACAGAAAACGAGCAGAAATAGTACATACTTTTAAAGAAAAGAAATAAACAGTAATAAATCACTAGTTGATGTATACATATTGTCCTCCCATAAATAATTGCTTAATATACAAAAGTGGAACATATAAATGGGAATTCAATCAGGGAGACTGTAAACAGTTCTGTTCAACTATCCAACAAAAACTAAGTAATATGGCTATAAATCCTATACACTTAGACATGTATGCATTTATCTGTGTCTTCATTTGTGTGAGACCTAACAAAACTTAATAGATTAAAATCCTTCTGAACAAAGATTAATAATATTGCTGGATTTCACATCATGACACTCTGGAATCAGCACTCAGTACTGCAGTGCCCCTTTTTTTCCTTCAAAGTATTTGTTCATTTCATCATGTGTCATCAGATCACTTCCCATAAACTGTTTATGTTTTATGCAAGCATGAATCTTAACATGTTATTTCTATCCTTTCTATATTAGAGAGAGAACCAGAACAAAGCAGGACAGAACAAACATACTCCTATACACACATAAAACTAAAAAGACATATAAAACTCCTGTATAAGGAGTTCTTCTATGGTCACTGTGCTGTCTCTTGTTATCATCAATGGAACTGGCTATATCATCAGATAAAGTATAATTGAATATATCAGTACATAACAGAATTAATAGAAATACAACTTTGTAGATAGTGTAGAGCTACAAAAACAGGTAGTAACCAAATCAGAATCGATATTGTAGTGAATCATTGTCATTTTCAGTATAGTTGTCTATACTCTTCAACTTGATTCCAGCAACCTAACAGTTTTGAATAAAATCTGTCAATAATAAGCAGCAATCAATCAAGTCAGATTTAACTAAGATCACTCATGATACAACAGTATAAGTCATACAGGGATCCTGATTGAGTTAATAGGAAATTAAAGATGACCACTGTGCTATGTCCTGATATCTTTGGGACAGCTGTCTGCACCCTCAGATCCAGTGCTTGTGTACAAACTGGGACAGAACAAGTTCCATCCAAGCAGAGTGGTACGAGTAATAAGGGTTTTAGTTTCTGATATTATGCTATTGGCAACAACCCTCAGGGGGGCCTTCCACACCCCACACTATGCTGACTCATTACAGCTGGGGGCTACAAGCTGACCATTAGTTAATCCATCACAGGGACACAGCTATCCACACATGAGATTATCACAGTCAACCCTCTCAATTCTAGCAGGGGGTGCTCTTTACTTTGTTGTGTATATTTGCCTCCTAAAGTACCTAAACATAGGTGTAAATTTTGTGAGCGGCATGATGGCATCTTCCCTCTGTGAGGGGTTAGGGTCCTTTGGCTTCTTTTAAAGGAGTTCTGATCTCGTTAAGGTCAGAGTGCTTATGACCTGATCTCCTCCTGTTCCTTGAGGCTGGTGCCCTGGGCATGAGGTGTAAGGAGGCTCAGGGATTCTCAGGTCATAGCAAAGGTCCACATGGATAAGTCACTCTTTTTAGCTCAAATGACAATTTGAATGTGGTACTACCGGAAATATTTCCTGATTCCAAATACAACCAAATTGTCGAGTGATGAAATGTTCCTTAGCAAGAATTTAAAAATAAGAATTCTTTTTACTGTCACAGAGCTTTGGAGGATGTGCAGCCCTTAGCTTTTCATGACTTAGCTAAAATGTAAGTAACTATGGTCCATTTTCTCATGCAAAGTTTTTCTTAAGAAAAAGCTGTGTAGAGGGCTATGTGAATAAATCTCTTCCGGGTAGGAGTGGAGAAATAAAAGCCAATTGTCCAGAGCCTTTTGTTGAGTTAGAATTGTGGGGGAAATAGACTTCTGATGACGATTATAAGGGTATAAATGTTGGCAGATATTTGCGTGAAATTGCAGACAATTTTCATTCAAAGTTAAGGCAAAGCATGAAAAATGCTGTCCAGGCAACAGCTAATGCTCTTTCTGTTGACACTGAAGTCACTGCTATTAAGTTGTTCTCCAGCTGAGAATTTGCACTTTTCCAGGTGAGCCATTAAAATATTTTTGTGATTTTGTTGACATTCAAGAGTCTTGCATTTTTTTGCATTCAGAAACTCATTAGCTTTTATGAACAAAGGTACTTGAGAGAATCCTCAGTTTGCTGGAAGCACAGAAGCCACATCTTAACCCTTAAGAATAGTCTCCCAAAACTGTTGTTGATTTTTTTAAATAATCCACAGAGTGAAAGCTACTTATTTTTTGATCATGATTATCAATATCTCTAATAGAATTATACAAACTGAAAGGTCAAAGTTTTATTGAAATACTTCAGTCATAAGATAAAGTGTTGAGAGCAAATAATTGCAGAACAAATACCAGTTTGTCAAGTCTTATCAAGTTAACAGCATTACCCACGAGAGAAAAGCTCAGCTCAAAATGATAATTATTGTAGCACATGTCACGACCACATTGTGAAACACTTTCATCCCTCATCGATCTCATTCTCTCAAATTGATGTATTAAACACGCTCCTAGAATGGGAACAAAAAGAACCATCTAGTGTTGTGAAGAGAAAAAAGGGAATAACACTGGCAACAATGCTCTTGCTGGGGAACATATTTTTAAAAGTCATTTATGAAGAGGCATAGTTCTGAAGAACAGTAGAGTAAGTTCGGCCATGAAACATGGTGTTATGTGCTTCAACAAGCCAAATCTGAAAAGCCATCTTTGGAGCTGTTTGCTTATGCCAGTACATTTTCTGCATACTGGCTTATAATGCAAATGTTGAGTGTTGTCATGCATTGATGCCTGCTTGATAAACAAGAGGAGAGACAGAGGACTGAGTTGTACCACTATATAAATCACATTAGGATGCAGATGAAACACACTGTCACAGCAAGGCATGTTAGAGGTGAATTCCACAAAGCAGGTAACTAGGGAGGCCAAACCATCAAGGATGTAAAAAGACATGGTTGTGCAATTTAGTATTTTATATTTATCTCAGACAAACAACTATTACTAAAGTATAAGTCATGACCTGTGAAATATTGTCTTTTATCTCAATGTACAAGCAATTAGAAATCACTTTCGCTTAACTGGGCATTCTGATTTGTGGTAAAACCAGTGGCCTAAGATTGAATTTTATCAGCAAACATGGGGCTACTTTCTGGAAGATTATTGTGTGAGTTTTCTCTGCAGGAAAGACACTCACATATCTGAACCAAGGCAGCGGTCACCACTCTGGTATAGGCACCAGGTGGCCTCATGGGGCTGTAGGGATTCCCGATCTCACACTGCAACACCTGCCCGATCAAGCATCTTTATGGAACATGGTCACTTTGATAAGAATTAACTTTGTATGTGCATTAGAAATAATATTCAAGTTTAAAGACTGCCTTCTTAAGAAATTTGCAGTAGATTTGTAGGTTTTTATTATTTTTCATCTTTTTAGCTTACACTACCATTTGGGAGTGTAAGAATCTTGGAATCCATGGATGCCATTTCTCTTTCTGACATTTGAGGGGTTCATAATCTATAAGTGAAGAGGAAAGGGAAGTATCGGTTTTAAGATTCTGTTTGAGGCAACAGGCACAGAATGCTCTCATGATTTAAAAAAGTGTAGTTACTCTTTGAGACTGACTTTTTGTACTTTTCAGCAAGTCGTTTATTGGGTCAGGATGCGTCTATGAGAGCTGTTAGTTTGAAGGGGCAATGGCAGGATTATTCAGGCTTAGTCTTGCTACACATGGGCTCAACAAGGGATTCAGTTACAGTTAGCTTGTTCTTGTAGGTACCGCACAGGAAGAGTTTCTATCACGAGGATTTATTAGTTGTTAATCACATAACATCCACTTATCAAGACAAGAGTAACTCTGTAGCCAAAATAAACAAGCCTGGCATGTCAGTGGCTTATTACAATACAGGTTTGTTTTTGCTTGTGTCACAACCCAATGCAAGCCAGTTCACTGTTCCCTGGGCCATAACTCAGTGACCCAGGCTGTCTTGTTTCACTCCCTTGTAGCTTCACGGTCACCCTGACATCAGCTGTCTGCAAGGTCAGGAGAGAAGATGTCACCCCCAAAACATGGTGCTGGATGTTTTAAGGATCCAATGCACAAGTACAAGTAGTTCACATACAAATTCGGTCACATCACAGGGTCTGAACGAGCTCCAAAGCAGCTGGGGAAAGCAGAGCAGCACCCAGGTACAGGATAACACTGAGAATCTCTGCCACAGGAAGGAAGGAAGGCTGGTGGCCCTCATGCCTAGCACCACCTCCAGCCAGCAGGCTGGGCTCTCTGATGTAGATTTGGCTGAGGGTGCTCAGAGCTCTGCAGCACTGCGCATCTCCTCACTCAGAGTTATTAGAAATGTGATCGCTGTTGACTTTAGAATAAGTATATTCGAGGGGCTGGGGATTTAGCTCAGTGGCATAAGCACCTGCCTTGCAAGCAGGCGGTCATGAGTTCGATCCCTGGTACTGATAAAAATGAAAAAGACAAAAAAAAAAAAAGAATAAGTATATTTGAGGTCATTTTTACATCCATCCTAAATATGGTGGTTAATAGGGAGGAAGGGAACAGCCCCAAATTGTGGGTTATTTCTCCATATCATATAATACCTGGAATTAGTACTTTTAGAAGGGAGCTACTAAATAATTTTATTTGAATCACCTAATTCAAGTGTTAAATCTAAGTGTATTTAAA